TTGATTAAAATTCAAAAAAAAACAAGATGTAGCCATGTAGCCACTTTTCTGTTATGTTTCCAATTTCTTCCAAAGTAAAACTAGCGAAGGCATGTAATTGCCATACAATCATCAATTGTGGGAAAACTTGTTTGTTATTGAAAATCTTTATTTTGTTGTCTGTGAATTAATATAATATTTGAAATGGCGTAATGGTGCAAAATATTCTCGAACAATCGGTCTTCTGGTGGCACTACACTGCACATTTATGCACAGTCAGTATCCCAATGCGCGATCTCAGCTTACTAAGTGATGACGGTGGTTGAAATGGAAAACTGAATACAAAAATCCAGTAACATCTCAAACGAATTTCCGTCTGCTGTGAATGCATGTTTCGTTGCATCAAATAAATAACCCAATTTTATGATAGAAGCTTGCCATACAGGGTCAAGTGATTGAGCAATAAAAAACATGGTACAAATGTACCAATGATCTGAAATTTCAGGAGTGCTCGCTGAAGGTTTATCAATCTTGCGTATTGTCTTGTTCTTTTTCAATCCTACATTTCAGTTACTAGAATTTATACTAAAAAAAAATAGTTTCTGTTTTTCTTCTAATAATTCGGCCACTCTCAAAAACAAATATTTTTCCATGGTCGAAATGCAAGAAGAATACAAAACTACTGTGATTGCATAGCGATACCTGTAGGGCCATTGTCAATTAGTTCGCCTGATCAACACAGCATTATACATAGGGCTGATATTGAATCACGGAGAGTAAAATCTTGTGATACTAATCTACTAACCACTCAGATTGGTACATATGTCTTATGAACCCACATGTGTATATCTTGGACAATACTCATTTTATACTTTTTTTTTTTTTACAGTGATGCTGTGAACTGCTTCAATTTCGCAAGGCAATTTTTTCTGGGTTCCTACAACATGGAGTGTCAGGGACTTTATTGAAATGTTGTACACAAATTTCATAAAATCCTGAATATATCTAGAAGTGAAAATTAAATGGTTTACAGTATTTTATACCCATTAATAATGATTGAAATGCAATAATATCACTGCACTAAAAAGACTTCGAACAATTATTGTTACTTCTCTATTGAAGGTTATGAGCAGACCAACCTTTATCACTACTGGCTTTCTTAATTATTACATGTACTTGCTCTGAAAACATAGCTTTTACAATTGTTTAAATTAACAGATGTTGTTCTATGTACAATGAATACATTTTAAATAATAAACCTTACTGTGTTAACAAATTGTATTTGACAACATGAGAATGATTCTGATGCCCAGTGGTGATGTTG